AAGTATTTTAAGCATTTTATTTTAATGGATTACGAAACAGACTTAAATTTTATTATAATGCAGACTTTTATTTCTATACTGGTATTTTTGGAGTTAATAGATAATCCTTTCTTAAATTTAATCAAGAAACCGGCCTAAACCTAAATTAACTGTTATTTTTTAGTATAGGATATAACTAACACAAAAATAAAATGTTAAAAGACTTTATTTTAAGTTGAAGTTAAACGAATCAAAATTTACAAATTCACAAAAAAAATTATTCACTTAAAACAAAAGTGAGGAAAAAGAAATATAAATGAGTGATTCATTTAAAAAATAAAACACAACAGAAGCAAACAAAATTCTAAAAGAAAAGAGAAACAATAAATTTATTTTGCGGATATTTTATTTATATAATTTCTGATAATAAGTCGTGTTATTTAAATCTAGATTGTGGCGAAATATTCGCTCAGTTAGCCTAACTCCCGAATAAATTTAAAACAAAACTTCAATGCCAAAAAAAAATTTGTTTAAGCTTTAACCGATTAACTAATAAAATGTAATGGTTTTTTTTTGAACCCCAAATTTTGAACATAACAATTGTTAAAACTCATTGGCTTAATCTTGATTTAATCATAAGCAAATTACCAAAGTTTAAGAGAAAAAAAATGTCTTTTTAAATCGTTTTCAACCCCAACATAAAAAAAAAATTTTTTTTTTTTTTTAATTTGTCGCCAAAAATTCAATAGAATGTTTAAGATCGAGAGTATTTTATTTAAGCAAAAAGAGAGGAATTTTAGAAAATGATATTATTATTGAAAAATTTGCTGAGGAAAATTTACCTAAAATGAATAAAAACGATTTAGTTAATTATGTGCTATAATTAATGGAGATTAGATGGAATGGGATTTATATTATTATTTAACTGGCAGAAAAGAAGCTCAAACGAATTAATTCCAAATCCATTATTTAAAAGCACGGAAGAATTTATTTTGTTAAATAATCAGAAAAAATAAAATCTGAAAGATGATTCTTCAATTTTTGTCATTGTTTCCGTTTAATCCATTTAAATGTGCCTGTTTAAAACTAATAAAAAAAAAGGAATAACACGAGCATCAATAGTATCTTAAAGACACATTTCTTAAAAATAATTTTTTTTTGTTTTAGTCCATAATATTTAACCATAACATAACTTGTTCATTTATTCTCACTTACAAAGTAGGGTACATTACCACGTGGCAATTGAAATTAGTTTAAAACAAGTTTTTAAAGAAAGAAAAATGAGAAGAGTGAGAAAAAAAAAATTCAACCATGGTATGCCAATTTTATAGATACTCCTCTTAGAATCATTTATTTTTAGTTAAAGCCAGAATTTACTAGATCAGAATCCAAAATCTTACTCATATTATAGCCTAAGCAGTATAAAATATTTTCTTCTTATTTGTATCTCTTCTATAACTCAGAAGGAATTTGTTTTTCTTCAAAACATAGTTTTTAATTTGAGGAGAAAAAGAAGAAGATACATTAAATATTAATTAGTATTAATTGCAGTTGTAAAAGAATAATTAACTTTCTCTTTTTCTCCTTTAAATTAAACGAATCTATCAAAATAGCTGAAATTTTTAGAGGAGGTGATTATTTTTCAAGTAACTTTTGATTTAAGAAACAGCAAATAAAATTGTTAGTTACTGACTTTTCTTTAGAATAATTGAAAATGTATATATTGTAAGGAGTTATTTTCCCCAAATTTTATAAAAGTTGTTACATTATATAATTGCAGGCATTCTGCACATATAGAAAAGAAAATTCCCAATTTTCAACAAATAGGAAAACAGGATCATTAATACCTAACAATTTTATTTTATATATATTTTTTTTTAAGTTTTATTTGCTGTTTTTCTTATAATAGAGGACCCCAGATAAATGTAATTAATATAGCACATTTAAATATACTTCAGTACAGTAAAGATTGGAGAGTATATTACGTTTTAATGCGTCCAATCTGTTAAGTTACGCATCGATGGGAAACTGTTTCAAAATAGAAAAATTTTAGCCTAGTTATATGAGGGAAAAAAAAACTACTTTTTCTGTCCTTTTTGTTCTATCTTTATTTGTATATTCCGGCTAAAAGTTTTCATACCGAAAGTATTTCTTTTTCCCAATTCAGGGGAATATTAACACGTAATATATTTTTAAAAAATGAAGTAAAATCATTAAAGGACGAAGATTTAGAAAAAGAGAAAATAAATTAATATTTAAAATAATGGACGGAAAATATAATGAGAGCATATTTAAAAGTGTGATTAATGGAGTGACAGATTTGAGGGAAAAATAATCAGAAATTGGATAAAAAAGATTTTTTTTTGATTATTCGCTTTTTCCTAGCTAATACAATCCCCCTTTTTTTAATTTCGGTCAAACTAAAATTCTTCCGTTTAATTTCATACCAGAAGTATTTATTTTTAAAAAATCTTATTTTCTCACTTTTTATTCTAAATATTTCCCTTTTATCCATTTCTGAGCTCTCAACTTAAATTCAGCCAATTAAAGAATTATTTAAATTTATTTCCTCTCTCTCCTTTCGATTTAAATATCTACTGTAAGAGGGGAAAAGTTAAAGGAAAAACTATTGCATATATCGAAAAAGAAGAAGAGAGAAAAAGGAAATGATTAGAAAGAAAAACCAATTAATAAACAAACAAAATAATTTCTACAGTAAATACTTAAAAAATGATAGGAGAGTATCCAGGCATTGCCAAATCCTAGACCGTAAAAAAAAATTTGAAATCTTATTTGCAGAACTGTTAAATCACTCAAATTAGCCTTTTCATTAGAAAATTATAATTTATTTCCAAACTAAGTGGAATACTCTAAATGTCATTTTTCTTTAAATACACATACAAATTTAGTTTCTAAGTAGAAATTAGATGACAAATATAAATGACAAATATAAAATATTCCAAAATAAATAAAATGCCAAAAATATATACTGTCTAAAATATCAGAAAAATTAAAATTAAAAAAATGGATTTTAGAGAGTTTTAAAGAGAAAAAGACTAAATGAAGAAGAGAAAAAAAAACTAAAATGAAAATCAACTTAAAAATGACAAAATATGCTAAAAATAACTAAAATGCCAAAAATATATAAAATCTGAGAAAAATTGAAATAAAAATTTGGATTTTAAACAGTTTTAAAGAGACAAGGACTAAATTAAGAAGAGAAGAATAAATTTTATTTGTATATTTTTTTAAATTTAAACTCACTTCCAAATACTAGCAAGGCCAAAATCCAGCAATAATTTAACAAATTTAGCACTGATCACCAAATTTGTTTGAAAATCCCTGAAAAATCATAAATAAGTATTTGAAAACAAATGGAAAATAAATTTTGTTTAATTAAATAAAACATTTTAGTTTTAAAAATTGTTATAAACCTACAAATTTTAGAAGAATTTAAACCAATATAGTAGCCGAAGCCAAGAGTGTAAAGTTAGCTTTTTGAAGATTCCTGAAATATCATAAATTAAATAATGAGAAAGTAATTAAAAAAATTTATTTTATATTTTTAACTAATTTTCATTTTATAAATAATACTTACAACGCCAAAAACAATCAAACAAATTTAATTTGAACACTGATGATAGCAACAACAATTTAAAAAAAAATATAAATTTTTAGTTTTAGATTTTTTTTGAGTACTAAATAATAAAAATATATTTTAATTTGATTAATAAGAATTATATTTTAAAACATTATTAATAAAAACATTAATAAATATTTAATAAAAATAAAATAAATAGAAAAAGATTTTGTTTTTTGAAAAAATATACATTAAAAATATTCAAAGGATAAAGTTTGTGAAGATGGAGGATGTACGGCGGAAGAAAAATTATTGTAATTCAAGTGAAGGAAGGAAAAATGAGAAAAAGAACTTCAAGATTATATCACCCTATATTGTTGATGCACACTTAATAAAAAGAAAAAAAAAGGCTAAGTATGTTAAAATGTTAATGTAATGTTTGGGAAGGAAAAATTTTTAAATTGCAAAAAAAAAATATATATACAAGAGGAAAAGGACAAAGTTTAATAATAGCGAGATTAATATTAAAAATAAATGTTTATTAGACCAGAAGATCACCTATTTCGTACAAGTGTCCTTTGTAATCCCGAAGGCAAACAATACTCTCAGAAGTTTAGATTTTAGGTATAGAAAAAAATAAATTATAAGTCCATTTATTTCCCGAAGGAAGATTACTCCCGAAGGATTAGTTTAGAAAGTTTAGACTTTTTTAGATAGAAGAGTAAGTAAAAAATGTAAAGAAAAATATATTGTATATCCATTTATTTCCCGAAGGAAGTTTATCTGGTTTTACGTGCACTACCAAAAAAATTAAATTTTATGTATCATTATCTAAAATTAATTTATTTTTACGCCCCGGGGTCTTATTATATTTAATCCAAAAATTACTACTAGGCCTATTAAATTTAGATTTTAATATATATATTTAAAAAAAAATTCACCTACCTCCCAATATTCCACGTCGATGACGAAGGACCGGTGCTACCAATAGAGGAGGGACCCCCGGAATCAGATAGTACCAATGTGGTGGGCCCAAACCCCAGATAATGGAATACGGGAGGGAATATGCCCGGGACTTCCTAGGATAAACTTAAGGGTTGATCAGGCCCTCTGTTGATCCCCTTCACCAGGCATACACAATTGAACACAAAATATATTTATTTATTGAATCCAAATATTAAAACATTTATTTAATTCTTTTATTAAAGTGAAAGAACAATAAGACAATAATAAGGTGATTACAAATCCTTTTAAACGTGAGAAAAGTGGGATGGAATTATAAACGACAAAATGGATATAAACATTAGGAAACAAACTCCGAAAATACCTTTGTCCCTTACATTCTCAATGGAAAACCAACATGTATTCCTAAATGCAGACAAGAAGTAACCAAAAAACCATCACGTAATTTTGATATTTTTACAAATATGTAAGCTAGCTTTAAAAATATTATAGCTCCAACAAAAAGAAGCACAACACCAAAACAAACTACATCGACCAAACATAAAACAACTACAACTCCTGTAACAACAAAATCTACTAAATCGACAAAATCTACTACACGTCAATCAACGAAAACTACACTATCAACAATCATCACAACCACAACTACACCTCCATTAACCACAACTACCCCTCCATCTACGACAACTACCCCTCAATCTGCCACAACAACCCCTCCATCAACCACAACTACTCCTTCATCAACCACAACTACTCCATCTACTACTACTAGCCCTCCATCTACCACAACAACCCCTCCATCAACTACAACTACCCCTCCATCTACCACAACAACCCCTCCATCAACCACAACTACCCCTCCATCTACCACAACTACCACATCTACTACTACTAGCCCTCCATCTACCACAACTTCTACTCCATCAACTACCACAACTACTACACCATCAACTACTACTCCATCAACCACTACTACCACTTCTACAACTACTACTACTCCATCAACTACCACTCCTACAACTACTACTACACCAACTACCACCTCTGCCACAACTACTACCCCATCAACTACCACTCCTACAACAACTATTACTTCATCAAAGAAAACTAAAACTCCATCAACTACCAAAACTACTACATCGAAAAAAACTAAGACTCCATTTACTACCATAACTACTGCTCCGTCAAAAAGAGCTAAGACCCCATCAACCACAACTAGACCATGTAATAAAAAATGTCCTTATGGTAGTTTATGCCAAATTATTAATAAGAAACCACAATGCGTTCCTATTACTCAAACCAAAACTACCACGCCAACCAATAATCCATGTAATACTATGAAATGCCCTTCTAATTGTGAATGCAAGGTAGTTTCTGGAAAACCACAATGCATTGTAATATCCTAATAAAATACAGTAAAGCCTTGAGGTAATCTTAAAAAATTACCTCAAAATTAATTTTAATATTTAGATATGTACATAATAACAAAATGATATGAAAGAATATTATAAGAAAGATAAAGAATAATTATCTTTAATCAAATTAATTTTGTGATATTTTATACAAAATATATACCTAATTAATATAATCCAAAATATACATACACATTTATGACTTATATTGTATGAATAAAAATGTTAATTATTTATGCTTAATTATACATATAATGAAGCTATGTTAGGATTTAGGATTTTTATACATATTTTTATAAATTATTTATTGTCCAAAGGTTAGGATTTCGAACATTATTTCCTATTTAGTCAGATCAGCTACACTTTTAATATCTTATACACTTAAAATTCAGAAAAGGCATCTTTAATATACATTTTAGTATGCAATTTATACTTTTTCAGAAATAAGAATAGTAATTATCGCAAAAATAATAATTCATGGTACCACAAGACAGAATAGGACAAGTTTCACACAAGAAAGTTTAGAGATTTACTTGATTTGATTTAACTTTCGATTGCTTATTTTTAAAGTTTGATAAAAATTTTAGTTATTTATGCACATAATACATATCACTAGATACCAGGGCTGGCGCAAGTGCCACAAAATACGAGACACGAGATTCACTAGAAACGAGATTCTAAAAATACGAGAACGAGATACGAGATCTTTCATAAAATAAGAGATTTGACAGATACGAGGCACGGTATACGAGGCTAACGCACCACTGATGAGTACGCTTTGCAAGATTAATATAGTCAAGAGATTTGGTGATTGGGGGATATCAGTGGATTTGGAGGATAAATGGGATATCGCGTATTTGGAGGCTATAGTTCATGAAGGATTGATGGGGAACTTGGTAGATCTGGTGTGATATCAGGATGCAAAGGATGTCTGATGATTTCTGTTTAATTAAAATTTAAAAAATGTTTTAATCAGAATTAAAAGTTAAATAATACACCAAGAGCAGATTTGAAAAAAAATATATCAGGAATCAAGAGAAGACCTTACAGATCTACTAATATTGCCCTTAATCCTCCAATATCTTCTCCAAATCCAGCTTTTCCCTTAAATCAACTGATATTAAGTGATTAATAGGGATATCGAGGGCTTCTGCTCCGGCTGGAAGATCAATGAATAATGTTTTTAGGAAGTTAGGTGGATTAAGTGGGATATCGAAAAATGTTAGAATAAAACATTCTGTAAGAAAATGGTATACATAATTAAGGTTAAATGATCTAATTAATTAAAAATAATTAAAATATTAGTTAAAATTAATTAAAAATCAGTGATAAATTAAATATTTATGTAAGAAAAATAAATGAAATTTTTATTAAAACGACCTCAGATCAACGTTTCATATAAGCTTGCAAGTCTGCAAATTTCCTTCCCTATAAGCTTTGTGATATTTATTATATGGCCGATTGAAAATAACAACATGTGATCTAAAATCGCACTTCCTGTTTATATTATTCTTTAATTTTCTTCAAAATCAAAAAATTATTTTCTGTTGTTTTGAATGTTTAAACAAAAAATTTTGCATAAATTTGAAAAAAAAAGTTAATAAAAACAAAAATATTTATATTTATTTTTAATTTTTGCTATGAAAACATGCACCTAAAATGAAAATATTAAATCTGTTTATCATTAAAAAATCAAAAATTTTGGTGCAAAATTTGTGTATATAAAACGATAGGGTTGGTGCCATAATCAAAAACAATATTTTATTCAAAATTTTATAATTATCATTAATATTACTAATCAGTAAATACTGCTGATCTGTCCAAGGAACAATGGTAAATAATACAAAAATTTTATTCAAAGTAATAGTAGCTTGACTATGTTTTGTGATTAAGAGTTAGCAAAGTCTTGGCCAGGGGCAGGAACAAACCTGCGCACATGAGAGTTTTTTCACATGTGATAAGGGTGTTTGCATACTACTGAGAATTGCTCGTACTCATACTTAAGCACAGGCCTTTGTTACCTCGTACACAGGTTTGAGCACGAATTTTGGTACGAGCTTTCAAGCACCGGTGATAACACGTCTGGGCTATTTTCTTTCACTCATATAGATCTTAAACCCTCAAATCAGCTAAGTAAGCGCATTAAATCTAGAAAGTGCCCTCTATCCAACAATATATAATTATTGTGTATTTAATTTTATTTTTTCAAATTCAAATTCCTTTAAGATGCATTCACAATTGATTCTGATTGCTATAGCTCTTTTTATGATTTCTTGTTACAAGGAATCCTTCGCTCAAGGTAATAGCGATCTTGTATTTAACTAATTTTAATATTAATCAGATGATTTACTTCCTAAACATATAAAGCCGCCTAAACCTACGAAGAACCCTAATGAAAAAGAAACGACTGGAAATTTAAAGGAGTCCGAGGGACTTTCAATTGAGCTGAATGGAAAATCAAATGAGTCGGAAGGGCTTTCAATTGAGCTGAATGGAAAATCAAATGAATCATTGGGACTTTCAATTGAGCTGAACGGAAAGTCAAACGAGTCAGAAGGAATTTCTATCGAGTTGAATGGAGAATCAAATGAATCAGAGGGACTACTTTCAGTTGAGCTGAATGGCAAATCAAATGAGTCAGAAGGGCTGTCAATTGAGCTGAATGGCAAATCAAACGAGTCAGAAGGGGTTTCAGTCGAGCTAGATGGAGTATCAAACGAGTCGGAAGGACTTTCAATTGAGCTGAACGGAAAGTCAAACGAGTCAGAAGGACTTTCAATTGAGCTGAATGGACTTTCGGATGAGCTTGGACTTTCATCAGAATTAGATCTTTCAGCAGGAGCGTCAGGTCTTTCAGCAGAGGCTTCGGGAATTTTGTCAGCTTCACTGGAACTTCCATCGGAGGCTGGACTTTCAGAGTCATTAGAAATTTCTGCAGAAGTAGAGGCTTCCGGACCTGTATCAGCATCATTAGAACTTTCAGTCGAGTCTTTGGAGCTTTTTAATGAAACCGAAGTAATTTTAAATGAGACCGGAATTGTACCAATAAAGCCGCCAGTACTATGTAAGTTATAGTTAAAAATACGGAAAGGAATATTCACTAAACATTTTTTAAGTTTGTTGTAACCCGCTTGGACCTTGCCTTATATGCCCTCTCGGAGAACACTGCATTGGGAACCCAGGATCAAAACATTGTGTTCCATTAGTATGCGATTTATTCTGTAAAATTGGCTTCGTATGCAAAATACTGAATGGAAAACCAGCATGTGTTCCAATTGCATGTAACTTAATACCTTGCCGGATCGGTTTTATTTGTAAACTTGTCAATGGAAAGCCGCAATGTGTCAGAATTATTTGCAATTTGCTTTGTAAAATTGGTTTCGTATGCAAGATACTGAATGGAAACCCAGCATGTGTTCCAAGAGGATGCGCTTTCACACGTTGCCGATTCGGTTTTGAATGCAAAATAATTAATGGATTGCCAAAATGCGTTCCAATCTTATGCAACTTAATCCGTTGCCCGTTAGGATTTGTATGCAGACTTGTGAATGGAAGACCAAAATGTGTCAGAATTATTTGCAACTTATTTTGCAAAATCGGTTTTATATGCAGAATAATCAAAGGCAGACCAGCATGTGTTCCAAACGTGTGTAGCTTAATACGCTGCCGGATCGGATTCGTCTGTAAAATTGTAAATGGAAAGCCGCAATGTGTCCGAATCGTTTGCAATCTTCTGTGCAAAGTTGGCTTTGTATGCAAGATACTGAATGGAAAACCAGCATGTGTTCCAAAAGTTTGCAACTTAGTTTGCCGCATTGGTTTTGTCTGCAAACTTATTAATGGATTGCCAAAATGTGTTCCAAATGTGTGCGGTTTACTACCTTGCCCATTAGGATTTGTGTGTAAAATAGTCAACGGAAGACCAAAATGTGTCCGAATTATTTGCAACTTATTCTGCAAAATCGGTTTTGTGTGCAAAATTGTCAACGGCAAACCAGCATGTGTTCCAAGAGGATGTGCCTTAATACGTTGCCGCCTTGGTTTTATATGCAAAATCATTAATGGATTGCCAAAATGTGTGCCAATCTTATGTAAAATCCGTTGCCCATTAGGATTTGTGTGTAAACTTATCCATGGAAGACCTCGATGTGTTCCTATTTTATGTAGTTTAATAAGATGCCGCTTCGGCTTTATATGCATAATTCTCAATGGAAAACCAACATGTATTCCTAAATGCAGACAAGAAGTAACTAAGAAACCAACACGTAATTTTGGATATATATTGAAATAAGCTAGCTTTAAAAATATTATAGGTCCAACAAAAAGAATCACAACTCCTAAACATACATCTACTAAACCGCATACAACTACTACACCTGTATTAACAAAAACTACTAAACCGTCAACATCTACAACGCCTCAATCAACGAAAACTACTACCACAACTTCTCCTCCATCAACCACAACTACCCCTCCATCAACCACAACAACTCCTCCATCCACTACTACTACTACTACCCCATCAACCACAACTACTCCTCCATCTACTACAACTACCCCTCCGTCTACCACAACTACCCCTCCGTCTACCACAACTACTCCTCCTTCTACCACAACTACTCCTCCATCTACGACAACTACTCCGCCATCTACCACAACTACTCCTCCATCTACCACAACTACTCCTCCATCTACCACAACTACTCCTCCATCCACTACTACAACTCCTACATCTACAACACCCACACCTCCATCAACCTCAACAACTACAACATCGACCACAACCACTACCACATCCACCACAACCAAACCATGCACTAAAAAGTGTAATTATGGTTATATATGCCAATTTGACAGCTATGGGAAACAACAATGCGTTGATAGCCCATGGTAAAATTAAAGGTACCTAATATGACTTTATTCATACTTGTTTCATAATATTCTTTAAATTTAGATATGTGCAGATACAGCGTAATAAATCATTGGAAGAATTATTAAATTAAAAACAAGTAATTGGAGATAATCTTATTCAAGATAAAAATAATTATTTATGTTAAATACAATGTACATACTATATCTCCATGATAAAATTATTATATAAAGTACTCGGTACAATATGTGGTACAATATGTGGAAACTCGGTACAATATGTGGAACTATAATAGGACTAATTAAAGCTGGATGTATTACAGTAACTCCAATACTGGAGTTAGAAATATGAAAAATGCCGGATCCCGTTTCAGGATTTCAAAAATTTTTTTTTCTATCAGGACTGGATTTTTCGGATCAAAACCCCGAAAATCTCGATTCTTATCAAAATACCCGGATCGGGACTAACGGATCCCGAAAATTCGAACTCTATCAAATACGAATTTAATTAAAGTTTGTATGTATGTAGACGGCAAATTTCAAATTTGCCGTCAAATTTAAATTTCATACAAATTTTGATACATAATAAATCCAAAGTAATACAATTATTTCTTTTATATATCCAGTCAATTTTACTGATTAGAATGTTGAACAAGCATCTGGACCATTTCTTGAAACTTTTCTTTAGTTTCATCATCTGGAGCATCATCTACTCCTTGTTTAGCTATATCCAAAGCGTTTTTGCCTTCATTATTTGTTTGGTTAACGCTTGCTCCTTTTGATAACAACAACTAGAAAATAGTTTAAATTGTTAAAAATCGAAGAAGATTGAAATAAAATTTTAATTGTTCTATTTACGACCCCAGTGGGTAGAAAATTCGAGTAAACCCCAACGTACCGCGAGCCCAACGTACCGCAGAGCCTATAACTTCGTTCAAGATTGTCGAATCCGTCTTGGTCTGACTCAACCTATACCTAAATTGCACAAAGAAGTAGGATTTTGTTTTGAGATTCAAGGTATCCCCAAAATGGATCCTTTGGGCTTATAAGGGATGTTAGTGAGTAGTGCCTGAGGACTTTTTACCCAGAAACCATTTTATTACTCAAACCTTAACAATTTCTGTAAGCCCGGCCATAATAGCCATTTGTAGAGGTGTTGTTCCATTTTTCTCGTCTTTTTCGTTTACATCAGCCCCTCCTGAAATTGAATTTAGAATGCTTCCAAAGTCACCGCCTTGGACTGCACCAGCTAATTGTTGAAGCAATCCCTAATGATTTTTATAATCTTATCAAATTTTAAAAATTTTTTTACATTTCCTGCGCCACTCGAAAGGAGTGATTCAAAAAGTTGACCAGCGTTGAACATTTTTGAAGATGAAAATTTAAAAAAATGCTAAATTTATTTTATGAAAAATTTGTTTAAGCAGGATTATTAGGTGATTAAAGAGAGAGAGACGGAGGTGGAACAGAGTGACCGAGGAGGATCAAGTAACCTTAGTAAATTGAGATTTAGAAACAACTCTTAGTGAGACTAAGGATCTGCCAAGAGGACTTCGATTTTTCAATAAAAAATCAGCACGATCAGTAGTCGATCGTCCGATCTCTAATACATTAAAAGGGTATAAAATTCAAAGAAGTATCTTTTTTCAAAGCCGAAATCCTATTTGAATGGGACAAGCCCAAGTAGACGCAAAGCCATAACTAGCTGGAAAATTTCTGGCACTTACCAATTTTAGTACCAATCTCTTTAGCTCGGTGTGAGGAATCGTTTAATAAGGAATTATAAGATTCGAAAATCTTGAAGCATGTTTTGCGCCTACTTGCCGTGCGCCTACTTAGGCTGTACCCTCTTTGAATATCACCGTATTTTTATGAAACTATTTTTATGAAACATTCATCAAGGTTTTAAGATATATTTTGAGGGGTTTTTTTAATCTATATAAGTTAGAAAATGTTGTTTAAAAAATGATTTTTAAACTCTTGAAAAAATTTTTTAAAAAGAAATTTGAGAATATGTACTCTTAAAAATAATTATGAGCAATAAGTAAGTATGAATAAGCATGAGTAATATTTTGAGTATTTTTGCTTTAAAAATAAAGCTTTTCGTAAAATATAAAAGCATTTTTAAGCTTTAGTCTTTTCAAAATCAATAGGAAAATAAAATAATAGCCAGCTGGTGAAACCTTGTTCTATTTAATATTTGAAGTATTCCGCATAAAAATAGGTCAAGCATTACCAGCGGAGGTTGAGGGAGATACCCAAAAAAATTTAAAAAAATGCAAAAGAAAAATTTAAACAATTATTTATTGAAAATACAACGTAAATAAGTTGTAATAAAATTTAAAAAATTTAAAAGGAATAAGTTTGAAAGGCAATCTCGAGTGAATTGAAAGGAAAGAAAAACTGGTTTTTTAAATTTTAATTAAAAAAGATTGATTAAATTTTTTCATTAACAAAAAAAAATTAAAAAACATTGAAATTAAAAATTTAATTTCAATGAAAAAATTAAATTAAAATAAAAATAAACTAAAAATTTCAAATCTCGTTCACTCAATTTACAGTAGTCCTTCGTTCTGATGTCTCTCTTAAATGTCAAGCAAAATTTCTATTTTATATCTCTTCAGGAAATTTTAAATTTAAATAAATTTAAATTAAACATTGTTTTAAAAATTAATTTTTAATAAAATATTAAAATAAAAGTAAAAATACAACAGAAATATCTGTCTGGGTCGCGCGTCCATAAGGTCGCCAAGTCATAACTTGCTAAAAAATTTCTGCCCTTAACAATTTTGGTACCAATCTCTTTAGCTCAATGAGAGGAAACGTTTAATACTAAATTTGGAAAGATTCGGAAAGCTTAAAGCAAATTATGTCTTTGTGACCTTATGGCCGCGCGACTATTCGGGCGTGTCCTATCCGTCTTCGTTCACTCAATATACAGTAATCCTTCGTTTTGATGCCCTTTTAAATATCAAGCTAAATTTCTATTTTATATCTCTTCAGAAAACTTTTGAATTTAAATAAAAATAAATTAAATTAAATTAAAAAATATTTTATTGATTCTCAATTAATGTTTAGCCTCTTAAAATTTTTCTCTGTAAAGGGCATCTTGGCATATGATTGAATAGAGAAAGATGTAGCATGTGAGGAGATGCTTGGCATTTAATCAGTTGCCATTGAAGTTGTTAAAGCGTGAGAAGGAGGAGGGAGATAGGGAGGGATAAATGCGAGGAAGGGAAGGAAATAGGGATGAAGGGAGGGAAAGAGGGATGAACGGAGATATACATAGAGTAGGGTGAGTGGGTAATGAAGAGCTGGGAAGAGGGAGTGAATTTGTAAGGAAGTGTTAGAGAGAGAGAGGTCTTTAATGCTTTAAGCAGCTAACTCAATTATTCATTGATAAAAAAATTTTTTCTATTTTGTGTCCGCACCCGGCGTGGGAGTAGAGGAGGAATTTTTGGCAGGGCACCAGCTACTTAGAGATGAGGAAGGTGGGGGTGGGAGAGGGGGGGGGGCAATGATGTGAGCGGGAGAGAGAGAAGGAGGGAGAAGTTAGATAAATTTTTATCCCCCCTCCCCCCTCCTTCTCCCTCCCACTCCCTCCTCCATCTCCCTCTCCCTCCCTCTCTACACGACCCTTATTCTTGACAGTCAATTCCCTATCTATTTTAAAAATTTATTTAGAATTTTAAATTTTTATAGAGAATAATTTGTTAAATTTATTTTTAATAATAAATTTTAATTTATTATAGCAATTTTTATAAAGGTGTTTTAACAAAATGAGGAAGTTAGCCATATTTTATTTATTATTCCTAATTTTAATTCTCAAAAGAAAATCACAGGTTGAGGCAAAAGGTAGATGATGAACAGTTTTTCTTGAAATAAACCCTATGAAGCTCTATTTATTAATGAAATGGGGGCACTAATTTAACAAAGAGCTCTAATTTAGGAAATCGGTATAAAATATTACGAAAAATGTCAACTAATATTTTAATTCAGAAGTTTTTGGGAGGGTACTCATTGACCTACCAAACACTCTCAATACTCATTTACCAACCAAATTTAGTTAAAGTATCTTACCTATACTATGCTTATCTTCTCAGTATTGGGGTTATCTTAATCAAATAGACACGGAGAGCTAATTATGAAGAGAAACGAACATTATAAAGGGAGCAGGGGTCTGGCTGACAAAAAATCCGATTTCGGGAATTAAATCAGTTAGAACCATTGATGGGGAGATATGTAGATAAGCAGACATATTAATAAGACTTTTGAACAACTTATTATCCTTGGAATACTTAAAATTTTAATAATTTTTGAAAATTTTTTAATTTACAGATAATCTGGATTTTTTGGCAAAATATTATTCAAAAACATTCATAGAAGATTCTGAAAATAAAATTGAAATAGATTATAAACTCTTTTATGAAACGTCAATTTTAATTTTGGATTCAAAAATTGAAGAAATCAGTAAACAGATTAAGAGTAAAGCTGTTACTTCAAAAGCTGCTCCTTCAAAGAAATTCAGCTCTAAAAGTAGTGGCAAAAAGAAGCCAAAGGGAGGGGGTAATTTTTAATTTTACAAATAGGGGTGTGCGTTTCGTCCTTCGCCAAAATTTCACCT